CTTTAAAAAATAAGCTTTTGCATAACAGTAGTATTAAATAATAAACAAATAAACAAAATAAAAAGTTACTAATGTAAAAAAATAAAAAAATAAAAAAAACTATACTCTTTATTGAAATGTTTAATAAGAATATCTTGACCGATTTTCCATGAAATTTAAGTGAATAAGAATTCCTACATAACAAGCGTTGAACAATATTTTAATTATTATTATGATATTGTCTGTGCTATAAAACAATAACTCTGCCTGTATTTCCATTTCATAATTTGTTTGGATAAAAAAAAAATTTTACAGTCAAACCATTGGTTACTTATAGAAAAATTATATAAGTTTACATAAATAAAATTGTTACAATAACCGTTTATTTTTAGTAATAAAGACCATCATTAAACCTTTACAGGACTTTATTTGTCATGTATACGTAAAAAATTCGCACTAATTAGAATTACACTTAAGTCTTGATATACAGCATTTGAAAAGTGGATTTAACTTACACAATCTGTATAAATTGAGACGACTATACTATTTTCAGATTACAAACTAATAAATAAGTTAAAAATTTATTACCTTAAATATAATTTATTTTACACAAAAATATTTGCACAAAATAACGATTAATGAATTTACGTATCCAGTTATCATATTACTATAGCTTGGCCATCCAAGACTAAGGCTGTTCCTTTAACTATTTTAAAATGATTGAATGTCTTCTATTATGAACTTATAGAAACATGATGTGAAAGTCGCTTTTTTCAGTTTTTTAATAAAAAATTTTTAAATATTAAGTTAAAAATCTTGATAAAAAATCCACTGGCTCTTCAAGTATAAAAAAATTTATTGAATTTTTAATGTCAATTTTTATAAGTAAGAACGTGAATTCTTACTACAAAATATTTATAAATAATAACGTTTTCTGTTTATTCTAATATAATTTAAAAGGCAATATATTTATTTTATGTACAAAAATTAGTTAACCAAAGTTCAATAAATAAAGAATAAAGGGTCTCGTAGTAACGGCGAATGTAAATCATAACCGTATTTGATACATTACTGCGAGCAACATTTACTTTACAAAAAAAGGGTCCATTTGTATTGAGTACGTTTAATTTTTTATGCGCTTTGGTTGAAAAATTTTATCAATGAAAATTTGGTTTTAAATCTCTAAATGAAGGTAATATGATGCCAAGTACACCTCAAGCAAAGT